CCCCCGGCGCCGCGGGGCAAGCCGGCCGCCGGGTCGCGGGCCCAAAAGCCAGCAGGCGGGCTCCTCGGCCTCGCTAGTGGCCGTGTTTTCGGCGGTGCGAAGCACACGCGGGTCCCCCTGAAGCCAATATGAATGGGGCAGTCTGTGTCACCGGCACCTACTAAGTCGTTTCAGAAATCCAGCGCGAGCTGGTTTTGCCTCATCCTTCGACAGAAGCTTTCATGTTCTGCACCAACATTGTTGCTCTTTATTCCCACCCCAAGAGGAAGCTCATATATATTACTTGAAGTGCTCCTGTGGCTTTGTCCTACGCTAATTATTTATATAGCGCTAGGTCTGGAAGATGCCGGCTGGGAAACGCAGGACAGCAGAAAGAAAGGTTTGAGTCTGGCTCTATTGAGATGGCTAGTTCATGGCCCTGATCCTGAAAACACATGGTTACTTATCGTAGGGCCTGATCCTGCGCCCAGGGGGACAGCCGCATCGTCTTCTAGTGGTGCCACTGAGCAAAAGCAGGAGCCTGCAGCCCTGAGTGGCCCCTCGCTGGTTCTGTGGTACAGCTCCGGCCTTGCTGCGGGACCAAGTCCTTTTGTGTGGGGGTAGCTGGCTTGCTGTAAAACCCTAATAGAGGCAAGACTGAATATTTTTAAACAGATAGTCAAAATCAATTCCCGTAGTGCAGCGCAGCTGTTTGTGCCCTGTTTCTGCTGTTATGTTCCGGTGAGATGGCCAGGCTTGTGGGGAGAGGTGGTCGCTGCTGTTAGACCAAATGAGTAAGCTGGAGGGGGGAAGCTTCCTCTCGGGGTCTGAAACAGGAGTACCGATCTTTAAATGCAACTTAAGAACAATTACTTTAAGTGTAGCCGTGTTAATAGGTGAGGCGGTCTGAGGAAAAAGGTGGTGGATAACCTGTGGAGAAGAAGAGATGTTAGCCGAGGAAGAGGCGGTGAAACTGTTAGCTTCTCGGGAACAGGGAGGAAGACTCCATTATCCAGGGACCTATTGGATTAGATGCAAGGCAAAGTGTAAGTAGGTAGCGCTCTCGGTGAGAAAACTCACGTTGCAGGTTTTGCCTTCAGTGCGGAAGGCGGCGTGCCTGACGCTGAGCCCTGGTTCCCCACTGTTCAACTCTGGCCTGCTCATTTGCGTAAGGTTTAGCCTCCTTGCATGTGCAGGTTTGGGCATTGTGTTAACCCCAGGAGTTTTTTAAAACAGGGAAGAATTTTCCTAATATTAGTTCAGCTCCACTGATAGCAGGAAAGCTACTGGTCCGAACGTGGGCTGCCTGCTGTGGCTACTGTGCAAGCAAGGGCGCTCTACTATGGCTAGTTGGAGCATGATGCCAGGTCTTCCCTGAGCGTATTTCTTGGGGTAGTGCTTAAAATGGTAGTGGCAGCTGCTACCAGCCTGCGTGAGAGCTCTTGATGCTGGTCATGTCGCCTGGGATTTGTTAGAGAATTACTAATACCCTCAGGGGAGGTGAAGTAGAAAAGGGGAAAGGAGGGGAGGCTTGCGGAGGATGAGGATGGATATTTTTTGTTTTCATTGCATCTGTTTCCTTTTCTGGTTTATTTTTGTGTGTTGTGTTTCAGGTGTATGAATCAGGATTATCAGTAGGAGTTTGTCCTGAGAAATTCCGGGTGAGGAATGAAGCAACATCCCTTCCTGCTCTGTTTGAGGAAGGGGGAGGGCAAGAATAACGTTTTCAAAAGATATCCCAACAAATAAAGTCGAGATAAAATGCAACTCAGGGGTGAAGTTTCCCATGATTCTGTTTCTTGCTTAGGAACTGCTTCTTGCCTTAGTGGATTGGGGGAGAGGGGGTTTTAAAAGTTAAAAGCAGTGGGGGATGAGCCACTTTTATGCATGCTTTGTTGACGCCGTTTTATGTCCGGTGCAGCCTTTGGGTCTGCGTTGGGACTTGCTGAGCCTGAGTGGCCCAGCGCGTATTCCAACTTCATGTACAGGTCCCATGCAGCCCTTGCTTATTGAATTTTAATCAGAATTTGAAAAATTTTCTTTCACTGAAGTACAGACCTGGAAGGGACTGCAAGAGGTCACCTATTGTTATCTCCTGATTGAAAGGCAGGATTATATATACTCACACTCCATCCCAGGCAAATGCTTATCTGATCTGCTGTTCTGAATCACCAGTAACGGGGATTCCACAGTCTCTGTATTCCAGTGACTGGCAGTCCGTGCAGTTGGGGATGTTTTTTTCCTGTCTTCTAAAATTCAGAATAATATCCCGTACTTCAGCTGAATTAAAACAAAAGAATTATTTCTTGTAATTTATATACTACTCCTTTTAGTATATCCCCAAATGACATTTGCCTCTTATGCAATGGCATTGAGTTGTTGACTGATTCTCAAATTTATCAACTATAACTTTACTCAAATTATACTCTTAAGTTTACCATCTTTCTGAACTGGGTCGCACCTGCAGATTGTAGAAATCTCCTCCTAGCCTGAGAAATACGGAGCCTGCTTTGGAGATAACTTCTAGGAGGCAGATTACTACCATTCAGCTGAAATGCGCATGCAGCACAATCTCGCACCCAGGCTTTAGTAATATAGAGAATTGTAACTATCAATAAGTAGTGCTGATTCAAAAAGTACACACCAGGATCATACAGGTCAGGAAAACTGAGTAAGACAGTAATCACAACTGAGTTCTGATGGCATCTCAGGCTAATTGAATTTCCCTTTCGGGACTTTCTGTGGCGTAGTCCAGCAATTCTGGCAGGAGAGTTCTGCGTTATCGTAGAAAGCCATTAGCCATTCATAGAATGAATTGACAGCTCCACTAGCGAAAGATAAAGGAAGGAAGAAAGGATGGTCTCGTGGCTGAGAAACTAGCTTGGGACCCAGGAGATCAATATTGAACTGTGCCACAAACTACCTGTGTGACCCTCGCAAGGTATATAGGGCCTAGTGTAACCAGCCACTAAAGCCATGCTTAACTTTATTCCTCTGTCATAACTCATTCCTCTGTCTTCAACGGATCTGCCTTCTGTGTGGTTTATTTAAGTAGTAGTTGGTTTTGTACACCATCTAAAACAACGAGGCTGTGACCACATATACAGTGTAAGTGAAAATGAATAAGAGTCATCTTGCATGCATGATCGATTTCAGGGAGAAGTATAGTATTGCTTATTAAGCTTTTCCCTTATTGTTTCATGAATATTGTTCATATTTTGTTTGTCTTCCCCTCACCTGCAAATGGACTAATACGAGCATTTGAGGACTGTTTTCTTAGGCGGGTGGTAAAAGACAATCGTCCAAATAAAATGCAAGTTTCATTTCCCTCTTTGTTATTGGGTCTGTAGATCAAGGGTGTCTTCAAAAAACCTGCATGAGGTAGTCTGTCATTTTTTCACAATGGAAAGTGAATACCAGAAGGCATGATGGAAATAATTGCTTTTTATTTTTTTCCCCTTGTAGTAACCAGTCTTCCTGAGAGCATTAGAGGAGCGGAAGGGTGCATTCACGATGGCTGCAGAGTTGGATTTTTCCCCGCCTGAAATCCCTGAGCCCACGTTCATGGAGAACGTGCTACGCTACGGACTCTTCATTGGAGCCATTTTCCAGCTTATCTGTGTGCTAGCCATAATCCTGCCAGTTTCAAAGTCCCATAAGACAGTAAGCAGTGCTCTTTAATATTGATATAGATGGGCAGAGTCAGAGAAAATAGGATGGGAGGGAACTTTGAGTAGCTGATGGAGACACAGCGGTCTGCCCTTGGGATTGATGACAGTTTCGTTGTTCATTCTCTTTCCTTCCTTCTAGCTTTCCCACCTCCAGCTTTTGTCTTGTGATTTACCCCCAGATTAGAAAGTCGGGAACAAACACCTGAGCCAGGGGCTCTCTGAATATCAGTGAAAGAAGTGACCCAAAGCACTGGCAAGGTCTGCTAAATGTACATGCTGTCCCTGACTGCACACGAGAAGGCTTTAGTCCTGACCCCGTATTGTCATCCTGCTGCTGATTTGCTTTATTAATTGCCAGGCAGGGCGTCCCCTTTGCAGGACCTGCCTCTCAGGAAGTGACTTTGGGCTCTAGTTTGTCTGCGATTTTTGGAAACAAGACACAGGTGAAATTTCTACTATATTCTAACGTGAGGAAGGCAGTTTTCAGTACTGGCACCCAATCCTGTGCTGGCAAGTGGAGGGTCCTTTGATGCAGTTAGTACAGGAGAAGGTTAAAGTGAAAGGTTGAGGTGAGCCACAGGATTGAGCTAGTCCGGTTCCTCTAGACTGGGCCACAGTGGGATGACCTGCACCTACCTGGCTTTTCTGATAAAAGAGCTCCCTGTGCTCGGCAGTGCCTGTGGTGCTGGGGACAGATATTTCAGTGTTGGTAATCAGGCGGCAAGTTTGGTGATTTGATACAGATTTTGTCTAAATGTGTATGGTCTGTTTTCAGTAACAGCTCGGCATGGGAAGTTTTGTTTTCAGGCTGTCTTTATTGCCATGTTTGCTCCCTCTCGTGCAGAGGAAGCATGGAAATTTTCAGCCTGTCTGGGGAAGGGAATGCCGGAGGGTGAGGTACAGTGTGAAGGATACAGTTCATGACCCGACTCTTTCACCTTTAACTGTTGGTGTGATGTGAAGTTGTGTTGATGTACTGGATTAGTGACTCTGCCCTGGCATGGGTGCATGCTCCCTCCTGCTAGTCCTGCTGCAGGAGCTGCAGCTCCCAGCAGGGAGATGAAGTTGGCGGCTGCCGGTCACGATGCAGTGGCATTGCAAGTCTTGCACCGTTATTCTGCAGCCACCAGCGCCCGTCTGTCAGAGTCCATGGTTTGCCCTGATAAATTTTTGAGACGTACCGAGTAGCCTGATTCTTGAAAGCTGAAAAAGAGTGAGAGCTTTAGTTTGAAGTGGGAAACTGAAGACCAGCCCCCCAATTAAAACTATAAAGCTCAAGGACCTGTTACTGTTTAAGTTTGCAAGCATGCTTTGATGTTTGCATGCTCTACTTTTTATTTTCTCCATATGTATACTGTCCTCTTGATTTACTGTCCATATGACTAATTTACAAGACCGTAACACCAGAGGCTACCCCTCCAGGTCTTGGGAATGATGCTTGAGCCTGGGTAGGATATTGAGGAACTTCTCTGTCTTGGAGGCTTCAGGCTTTGAAGTCTACCTTGGTTTGAACATTAGAAGGCAGCAGTGTTCACTTTACAGCAGCAGCACACTGCATCCCTGAGTAATAACTGCATGTTGCTCCATTTCTCCAGAGCCTGCCAGCTCCCCATGCGCCGATTACAGCCTTTGGAAAGCCAGCCAAGTCTCCTTCCTTGGAAAGCCACACAGATGTGAACCGTAATAGCCCAGTAACTTGAGAGACGTTTGAACCGAGCTCCTTGATTAAAAGGATACTGTCAGATGCTCGCCTCCCCCTCCATTATCTGGAGCGCTGTCTTGGAAGCTTGAAACTAGCACGTCTTGCTCAGCCATTTTTTGTGTGTCCTTTTCCAGTTGGCACGCTCTGACTGATAGAAACCAAGATGCTAAAGCAATATTTATACTCAAACGCATTTAATGAAAGGAGGCAATCTGCATGTGTGCGCTTTCTCAGATGGGACTGGCGCTGTTCCCTTGTGTTTTTACAAGATAACTAAACTTTATTTCCCATGGCTGAAATATTATCTGTCATCTCCCCTGAAGGAAACAAGCAGGATATCTAAGCATTGTTAGTCCAGGTGAAGAAAGCTTTGCTTGCAATTCCCTCCCTGGATTTTGGGCTTGGTTTAGAGGCTCTGAACTTCACATTCTTACTACTGTTTTGGGGATTTTTTTGTCTTGCGCATGATAACGATTAACATTTGGCAGAAACACCTACTGAATGTTTCCATGCACACTGGTGATTATATGGTATCTTCTCCTTTTCCTAATTTGAATAGTTTTCATTTAGTGTTGATTTTCTTCTTGCCTTTAAAGTTGGTTTTGTTTTTCTTCTCCAAAGCCTGTTTTAGACACTTAAGCTTTTAACAGCTTCTCTGGTAACAAGCTGTTTCTGTGCATAAACTCACAGGCATCAGAAAGCACATGCGGAAGAAGCAGAGATGGTGCTGCTCAAGTCTCATTAAATGTGGACTCATAGATGTGTACCAGCAGAGATACCCAGCATTTGCTTCCTTTGGCTTATACTCAAATTCCCGAAGTGAGCTGTCAGCAAATTGTAAAAAAAATGTTACTGACTGTTTCTTAATTGATTCTTGTAGGACTCGGACAGTTTTGAGCCCAAGAATTCAGAGACAGTGAAGAAGCCAAAGGCAACTGCTCCACAGATAAGCAAGAAACCCAAGAAGGAAACCAAAAAGAAACGATAAAGCCATGACCGATGAGCCTCAAAAGACAAAATAATCAGCTATAATCATGCTTCCTCAGAGATGACATCAAAGACAACTAACTATATTACATGGTTCTCTGGCATTGCCATGCTTTACCTTTCAGGGACAAGGGAGAAGGAACTTATAAGAGTGGAAGGGGCAGGGTTCTGCCATAGATTTCTTACAAGCAAAGAGGACTTCACATGTCCAGGACTTCATTTGATACGATTAATGCGTCAGTCACCATTAAAGTGACTTCTGTCATTTCTGATGGGTAGAGAGGCCTGTTGTCCTAGCTCCTCCATGCTGGCTAGGATTTGTGGTAAAGTCCCTGTGGAAGGTGGAGCATGGGTTTGCTACTTTGGATACCGGTTTGTGTTGTATTTTTTGAAGGCAGAGGGATCAAATGGATCAAGGATACCACACTACACAGCTTTGTATTCATCTCTGTTGTCATCTAGTCTGAAATACATAGCTGCATTTTATGGCTTAATAATTATGTCTTTGTCATATTCTTTAATTCTTTAGGTAATAACTCATCAGATTCCAGACTGCTGTAGATGAAAGCTTTCATTTCCCCAGCGTCGCTACCTCTTTCTTATTCCCCACCCATGCACTTTTCCTTTCTATTCCCACCCTTGAAAGCAGGTACATTTCAGGGAATTGAGGCTGTGGTGGGGACTGCAAGGACTACAAGGGTCGGGGAACAACTTGATTCCGGAAGGTGCAGAATTTAATGCCTGTGCTAATGGGGTGTTCTTGGAAACTTGGGAAGACCAGGTACTGCATGTTGGAGAAAAGCTGCTCTGAGGCAGGAGTCTCGGAGTGCTGCATCAGTCATGTGTCAAACAGCACTGCCTAGCTGTGCTGTTGCTAAAGCCCCCTGTCAGCTAGCTGAGTCCTAACCACGTGCTCCGTTTCAACACAGCTGGGATTTGTTGCATTTCCAAACTCCCTCCCAGCCTTACCTGCTGTAGTCTGCTGCATCTCCTCTTGCTGAATTCTTCCTGAAGTTAAATATGATCTCAGCCTGAGGAGATGTGGTATTTTAAGATCCAAGGGGGGGCAAGCTGGCTGTGTAGCATGACTATATGGCAAGAGACATATACGCTATGTTCCTTCAGGCTCTGGCTCTCCAGGTCCAGGGGCAATCTAGTATTAGATTTAAATATGGCTAGACAGGACTGGAAAGAGATAGGTGGTGACGTAGCCACAGAGTCTCTGTAGGGCAGCTCGAGCTTCCTGATGCCAGCTCACATCTTGGTTTGTTTGATCACGAATGAGTCAATGGGAGGAGAACCTGCTCTTTTAGGCGCACCCAGGGTTCAGAGCGGCTTTGAAGGAAAGGGTTCTCTGGCAGGGCTGCAAGTCTGCGATCCTTTTTGCATACATAGACTCCCATCCTCAATTCACAAATGCCTTGTGAGCCCAGATACGTAGTGGTGTTGTGCTGTTGTTCTTCAACAGGAGCGGAACAACACGTCTACAGAAACCATCAGTGTTGAGAACAGCCACGTTCTCTGCTCAGTTTTGCTTTTGGTGGGTGAAACGGATGGATCCCAGTACCAGTTTGATTCTAACCTCTCACTGCTTCCCTGCTCCAGGCTCTCTGCTTCTCTTAACCAGAATGCTGACACCAAGTTGCACTGCTTAAAATCCAGGTTAGAGTTCTGCTTTAAATTCAGCATTTTCTTTTTCTTCTTTTTTTTTTGAGCTACGTGAAGGCAATACTAGGAGGACAGAACAAAGCACGGAGACACAAGCACTCTAAAGTTGCTTTGAGTTCTCAGTACAAAGAAACATTACAAAAATTTCCCACACAAATAACAAAGAACAATATTGTGCTATGAGTTTCCATTACGGGCCTGTGTTCCTGTCTGTGATCTGCAGGGGAAAGAAAAGCATTGCCGCTGCCCTGGATAGGTACTGCAGATCACTTCTTCCATTTTAATAAATGAGGATGGTGGTTGTTTTATCTAGCAACTCTGGCCTTCTGCAGGTTACCTAAAGGGGGGGTTTAATGCTTTAACGGAATTGCGAGTATTGAAAGAGTAGCACACACATTACCCGAAACATAGAAGCACTTCCACGGCTAAGAACCAGTTAGCAATGAGCACTGTGTGGTTGTTACCTGAAATAGCAGGCTACTACATCAACATCTACGTCTAGCTATTTGCAGGCTGGCTTACTCATTGCTAGGTAGAAATCATGGATATTGGGGTTTGGTTTTGTTGGGGGGAAGAGGGATTAAGATAAATTTCCTAGTCTGTTCCTAACAGCTTTATACCTATTTGAATGCTCTTGTTGGCTGAACTTATAGTGTGTTTTTAGAGATTACCAATATCCTATGTATTTTAGTTTCTCTTGAAATGTGTAATAAATACAATCGGAATCTCTCTGTTTAAAAAGAAACCTCTTTTTAAAGTTGTGCTGCCTTTTTCCATGCATGCATTGCAAAAGCTGCCAGAACTCTCAGACTGTAGGAACACCGGGACATAAATAACCTATTCATAAAAATGATCCATTAAGGGAATGGATCCTTTAATCTGTGAGCAATTGGTTAGTTAATAGTCAGGCATGTGTGTATCTGTGTTTGACTTGGAAATAGCAAACTATCTCCCAGTACAGCTTCAGCTTCCTGGAAGGAAGGAAGAAATGAGGCACTGACTAAATTAATTTGCCTCTCATGAGAGATTTTGGCTCCGAGAGCCCCCATGAAGGTAGCAATAATAAAGGCATCATTTGTTAATAATATGAGCAGGGGATTAGATGGGGATTCAGTGGACTGATAACAGGGGTGTCCAGCAGCCCCTCGGTGTGTGATTGTAGCTCAGGTTCACGTGGCTGGAGCGCGGAGCTGTCTGGTGGCTCTTCTTGGCTGCAGTAAGACCAGTGTGGTAGCCAAGCTCTGGCGAGCGTCTGTTGGTTCCCTCGCCAGAAAAGGACTAGTGTGGTGACTCCCTTAATTCCCAAGCACTTTTCTCCCGGCTGTTTTGTAATTAACATCCCAAAGGGAGCTGAAGACCTCATTAAGTCACTTTTATTGAAGGGGAGGTTTTCAAAGGTCTGCCTCCAGATACCAGCCAGTAGGCAGCACCTCGGTGAACAGCACCTTGCTCTGCCACCCAAAGCCCAGGAGCTGGGCTGAGAGCTGGGTTTCCTCTGCTACTCTTTGTTAGGAAGTTCCTTCCCCTCAACAGGCCAAGCCTCAGCTCTGAAGAAACATGGCTGGGAGCTGAGAATTCCTTGCTTTCTTTTTGATCGTGTTCAAGCAGCTCTGCCTTTCTGGCCGCTCACCTCGAGAGCTGTGGCCATCGCCGTCCCCTCGAGCTGTCCCACACTCACAATGCATCCTTGTGCTCCTCCAGTGCAAGCAGCACAATCCCTTGAGACCGGCCAATAAGTAGCTCGTGACTGGAGTTCCAGTTCACATAGTTCAATTAAATCCCTGTTAATCTTGTTCAGACCTAATTTACTTTCATTCTCGTACACATGCTTCTCTCCGCTTCAGAGAGATTCTGGTGAGGTTCCCTACTGACGGGAACTGAGGAGCTCGAGGCCATCTTTGAAGAGGACTGATGTCTGCAGAGCAGCCCCCTTGTTGAGTCAATAAGCTAAGATTACTTCCCAGCCTGTCATGACGAATGTGAAAATATTCCTTCGGTGCCTGGATTTCAGGGAGGGTCAAGGCTGGATCTGATGATGCTCGAGGAGAAAACCAGGAAGCTGTAGGAGGGGAGGACCTGCTCAGTATCTCTGTTTCCCAGGGCACTGCTGAACTGTTTCCCTGTGTGCGTGTGTTAATTTTTGGACAGCTGAGAGCTGGGGTGCTGGACTTCTCTCTTGGGAGCCTCTTTTACACGCTGATACTTCTTTCAGGCGGAAGTTATGTTGTTCACAGCCTGTGGCCTGCAGGGATCGAGATGACTGTATTGATTTAGTTGTTTGTTTATTAATCTTGTGAGGCATCAGAGGCTGACTGCAGCGAGAAAACGGGATGATGAATGGAGAGTGCCGGAGTACAGAGCATGGCTGCTTGTTTGGTAATTAGGTTGATTGCCAGCTTTGGCACTGGGAAGGGATCTGACCCTCCTCCTCTTCCTCATCCAGCCAGAAGGGATGATTTGGCTGGGGAGCATTCCCTTTCTCTGTGGCAAGAGACATGGGCTGTAATCAATGTTTACATTTCTTCTTAAATTGGCAGTTACTGCAGGTCCAAGCTCCTGCTCTTCTTCTCTGGTAGTTTGTGGCTTCTGAGCGGTTGTTTGTGGGGGTGTTTTCTGGCTTTTGGTACCCGGGCCAGCGTGCAGTAGCTGGTCTAAACGTCTCTTGCTTGGGGCTGGCAATTGCCAAGCAATGAACTTGGCTTCCTGCCTCTCCCTTGAAATTCAGCTGATTTTCCCATTTCATGTTGATTCTTCCCAATTTGTGGCTTTTCTGTCACCATAATTCACCCCTCTTGTTGCTTCCACCCTGTAGACTCATGTCCATTGCAATTCTTCTGTCCCTGCAGCCAAATTTTACCTGCCAGTGACAGACAGCGGGTATCACCTGGCTGTTACAAGGACTGATACAAAGAAAGAACACGTGGAGAAGCATCCAGGATGGAGAATTGTGTCCCCTCGTAATCAGACCCGTCAGCATGTTTCTCTTCCCTGATGTTTTTTTCAACCAGCAGATGTAACCGCTGGGGAAGAACAGCTCTCCGTCTTGGGAGCCCCAGGTATACCTGGGAAGCTGTGCCGTGCACATCAGCCTACCCCTGAGCCAGGAGGCGTTAAAATGATTAAATATTACACTTCCAAACTCTTGCGAGAAGTGAGCACGGCAGCGCTGTGCGTGCTTCACACCACCCGTTCATATCCTGCTCCTCGCCAGCACATGCAGATTTGTCTTGTGCAATCCCAAACCTCTCGCAGTGCTCGCGTCCCTCCTCCCAGCTTCCCTGGTTTCATTTGGTGCCTGGAGGCCCTGGTGTGGCTCTGATGCTCCTTGCACCCTGCTTTGCTGGAGGCGTGACCAGCCACGCACTGGGAAACCGCAGCCCCACCGAGGACCACAGTGACGCAGAGCAGGTGGTTGGAGCTGACGACAGGTTCCTCTGTGGCTCGAGTCCAGCCTTTTTGGCTGGTAGGTACAAGGTAAACCTGCTTTGGATCGCATCTTTGCTTTTTAAAAACATCTGTTGCCTGGCTGATGTCTCTTGTCGCACTTGAAGAGCTCAGCTCCCAAAGGAGGGGTGCTGTGGGTGGAGGGGGTTGAAGGGCTCTCACTTCTTCCTATCTTCAGTTCTAGGCAAGGAGCTGTGTCCCTAGTGCCGTGCTCTACTGGAAGCCCTATTTACGTGCTAAATGCAGCATTCCTTGTTTGTGAAACCTGCACTCTGTCCCCTTGTTTCTTGCCAGAACGCTGTCGGAGCCTCTCATGTGCCGCCCCTGTAAGTGTCAGGTTCAGCCAGCCCCACTTCATGGACTGTGGCCACGGAAGGCATTCA